AAATAATAATATTCATAATTATAAATTTAGTAAAAATGGTTTCCATTTACCCATATGTATATATGCAATACTATTCAGTATTAAGACTTTGTAATGTCTCGATTAACACATTCTGGATCACTGGTAAATTACAATTCTGTAAGAAGTTTATTAAATCGCGAGGCAATGCGCTGTAAATGCAGTTCTGTAGTTAGGCATTTATTCTCGTGCGCGCTAATTGAAATCGAACGATGACTCGTACAAATTTTATACCGTCACGGTACTAGACATCCTCTCATACCTGCTTCGAGTTTTGTTAAAAAACAATTTACAAGCAACACCGTTTCTTTTAGTACTGCTGTTAATTGATGAGAACATTTGTTATGTAAACTATGAAATCCGTAAACGACTTATGTGGCGTTAAGTCTACAATGAAATTTGTGTCACATGGAGTATGTAACGAACTCTGTGCCAAGCCAAGTATGAAGTATGTGTTAAACTAAGTATGTGGTATATCGAAAAAAGAGACTAATGAATGGAATTCATGGCAAATTTAAATGATTCTTTATGATTTGAATATAAATGTACAATGATGAATGAATAGAGGAATGCTTAAGATAGTAAAAGATGTAAAGAGAATTTAATCTGGCCTTTAATTCAGTTCAATAAGTCTTCGGTTTTAAAATATTAATTTAATATTTAAAATTCCAAAGTTTCATAAGTATATTCATGGCTTCTCTTCATTGAATGAAATAATTCTACAGATTTTTCAAATTATTAAGTATTCGTCGATTGCTTTTCCTTGTTTTTTCTACTTGAACAAGTTTCCCGAAACCTGCATCATTTACCAAATACGGTTTCATCCGGATCGTGACACCATTCTTTTCCCGCGTCAGTTTCCCCGCGGCGAACTTTCGAGTCGCGCGCGCCGCGTTAAGAAAGCGATCGAAGATGACAAAGTCAAGTGAATCACACGCCGCCTCACGCGTCGTCGCGTGGGAATCACGCGTTGCACCTAGAGACACAGTAACCCATCGCATCGGGCGGGAGGATGGCACATAGGAAGCGTGCTGCCGGATACGCGGGAAAACTGTTGATTCATAAAGAAATCGCTACGCGCGGAACCGGTTAATCGCCGCGCGGTTTCTTTATAAGTACTCACGCATTGTGCGTGGGCGAAGAACAAAGAATAGAAGCGAAAATGGATAAAAAAGCTAATTGGATTTGTGATATCTTAGCCAAGCATTTCAGAGTAAACATCGATTGTATTTTTAACTTCTCTTTGTACAGAGAATATAACGATTTTGATTAAAAAATTTAATGAACCAAGTGTAAAATAATTTGAGAATCAAACATAGAATAAAAGTTTGATGGAAAGAATTTTGTTAAATTTCATGAATTGTGTTATTTTAATTAGATTAAACGTTATTCTTTAGATATGAAGTTTAAGTATGTGGAGACAGTAAAGCACATACGTGTTCTCCACGTCATGTCGTTGCCGATCGATTTGAAATATCCTCCGCTGCAAGGTCATTCCTTTCTCCCCACAGGCTCACGTTCTTCTGTGAATCTGTCTCTCTTTTCTTCGTCCCATGATTCATCCACCCTCAGACGCCGCTTGAATTCTTCGCGGTTCGATTTTATTCCCCATTCCTCAACAAATCACAGGACGAATAACTAGTGTTTCTATAAACTTGTTGCATAGCAAGTTTAATTGGAAATTTGAACTTAGTTAAGAGTCGAGCGAGTAGATTCAAACTTTGTAATTAGAATCTTATGGTGAATTCATTAACTAATTTTTGAGTTCTATTCTTCACGTCTAGATTACAAATTTTTTATCCGTGGCAACTGCAATCACTGATATTCCGGACTTTTCTTTTGAATAAGATGTAAAATCCGTATAACGAGGCTCGGGTATTGAAATTGGCTGGGATTCATGAATATATATTGAACTTGTTCCCATCTTTAGAAAATAGGGTATATGCGTTCGATTCTTTCAGCTGTTATCACCATGAATAACACTATCGTTTCCTATTGCTAGCCTATTTCGACTTCTATTGTTATCAACAAATTGTATATGAAACAAATTAGTTCAGAACAAACACATAAATAAATTACTATTCAAATAAACTTTTGCATAAATCTATCAATATTCATTTAATATTAAAATTAATATTATTATGTTCAAAACACGTATGTCAATCATCAATCATCGACGAACATTAAAAGTAAATAGTTTCACGCTTTTATAACGCTTGATAATAATTAAACATCGAATAGAAAGAGCATCGTTACACCAGTTAGCAGGACAATGAAACTATTGGTATCAATATTGATCAAAATATCAGATAAATTTTTAGTGATCATAAAGATCGCGAATAATTACTTCGTCAATGGAAATCACTAAAGCTCACCTACTGGTATCGAGATAAAGTTATAAAACGGTGCATTGTGTTCGACGGAGGTGGGTGGAACGCGACGTTTAAATCACTGTCATCGGTGTCACGGCTACTACGAGGAAGCGGTACCGTTATCTCTACTTCTGCCGAATAATCGAACAGCTCGTGCTACCGTGCACCGAAAATAATCGATTAAAAATACACCGGAATCATTCTCAATAAATGGACTCTGATGTGCAGTTAAAGGACTGGTAATAGTCTTCATTTTCTTCCTCTTTGAAAACGAATCGATTTCTTTTACTGTGACACTTAATCCTGATCTTAAAAGACTTTTCTAACAATTATTTATAATTACATTTAACTAATATTGTGGTTTTTGCTAACTCATTTTCTTTTAACACATTACTATGAAAATTGCCTATTGATACAATCATCAGATTCTCGACAGCGTGTCCGGATCGATAAATTAGATAAGACTTCGGTGCGTCAGGGAAAAGTTCTGCATAATGTCAACTGATTTGAATAAGAAAGGAAACTAGAACGAACGTCGAAGAGAATCTGCTGGTTTTACGAATGCAAAGAAAAAGCATTTTTGGAGAAATCGTTGAAGAACTCTACGTCCCACTATAATACTTTTCGAATCGAAAACAAGTTCGGAATTTATCTCTAAAATTTTGTCTGGTTCTATGTGTCGAATTATAGGAGAATATTTAAAGCGGGACAATGCGTTACGCCGCAATTACTGGCCAAAATTCATTACCTGCTTAATGACGTAGTTTAAAGCCGTCAGTTTTGATGCACAATACCTACCAAAATTAACAACCTATAGTGCGTGTACAGAGAACAAGAATAAAATACATTTTTATTTTACATTTATTTTTATTCATCCTCTTTCATATCAACTAATGTCACTAAAAAGGCAACAGTATGATAGTGAACGGTCGAGTAACGTAGCACGTTGTGTAAAAGTGTTCAGCGATCTGCTCGTTAAATATCGAAACAAGTGGACGTGAAACGAGATAGCCGTTCGAGCAGCGGCACGGGGGTTGAAGCAGAAAGCGGAGAACGATTTTACGGTGGACAATGACTCATAGGACAACGGCCTTAAGACGACGTCGAAAAGTGGTAGCCCGGGGATCGCACGTAGAGAGGAACTACGGTGAACGCAGATAGCTGCACATGTGACCATGCCCGTACCTAAGCTCCTATGCCGTTGACGTTTATACGTATACGAACATAACTTATGATCGGAATAAAATGCAAGAAGAATAGACGGCGCGCGTGGAGGCTTGATAAGCTTCGCGCGAACGTTTCCTTGTAGCTTTTTTTCCTCTCTCGTTTTAGTACTCGTCCGGGACTCTCAACAGTCGCCTCGCGATTTCTCGATATCCGGATACGAGATTTTGCTAACGCGTAGGTAAATTGTAAGCTTAAATCGACTGTTTCGTGGATTCTCTGCGATATTTTATAACAACAATTTTATATTTATCAGAATTTTAATATGAAATGCAGAAGTAATTAATATTACATTTTCAATTAAATTGTCAATTTGTCTCACCTACACATTTACGTATTTCTCTATTGAAAAATACTGTTGCATCGGAATTGTTGAATCTGATACAGATAAAAAGAAGTAATCGTCGCATTAAATTCTGGCGATTTGAATAATTGAGAAGAGAGTTTCGACGAAAACGAGGGTTCAGACGGAAACACCATAACGCACGTCGTTTCTATTTTCCCTGTTTATGGGTGCCGTTGTGCAACGTTTAGTGGAGCGCACGCGAATTCGGCATTAAACCTCGACGTAATCGTTTCGTTCGCGAACGAACGAGGATTAATCAGCGACCGATGGCGCAGAGTTACGTAGCGTGAAAGTATTGTAGAATAAGACAACAGGAAAGACTGACAAGTTAAATCGTTCTTCGTTATCTGAATGAGAGAATTCTAAAAGGAAAAAGTTACTGGATGCAAGTCCTTGTTATTATAACAACTTGATCCTGTGTATAGCTACCTAATTATGCTGGTCACAAGCATGATCGATTATATAGCTGATCTGCTGTTCTGTCTGTCTGAAGAAATTCGAGAATGTAATAGGGAAAGCAGATTACATTGACTGATCTATTATTATATTTGAAAGACATTCTTAATGTCAAGGGTTTCGTTTTAATTTCATGCACGGAACGATCCTCGTAAATCTGTGCAAGCAATGAAAAAGGAAAATTGCAACGTCCTCGTACTTGAAGCATTTTTAGTCTTTCAATGAAAGTTCCATTCTTTTTGCGTTCGCTGAAAACCGAGGAAGGGTTAAATTCCCTTGAGGTCGCGCAACCTGTTTCAAGGTATCGTCGAGGGCCAGTCGACAACCCTGAAACGAGGATCGAATGGTAGGAAAACGCGGTGGACAAAGCGCGGGGTGACGGTCTAATAAAAATCGGCGGACGGAGTGGGAAACGTGGTGAAGCAGCGTCGACGGGGGTGAGAGACCGAGAGAACGGTCGAGCGAACGTGTATCCGTGACGTGCCTCGAGGGCAGCAACCGACACGGCGAGTTGCAGTGGACGTCCTTGCTATGTTATCTTTCACGGTTCGTTCCCTTTCACTTTCAGTGTCCAGGAACCAGAAAGCCCAGACCTCCACGAACAAAGGTAGTACCTACGCCTCCGCCTTCGCGTTGTTCGCGCGATCCTATTCAAACTGGCGCGATATGCATACAATCCTGTTCATAAATCGTCCGACAGCTGATAAAAACCGATGAGATGTGGTAACAACGTTGCAATTTAGAACTTGAAATTAGATTTCAAATCTATGACATCGATCAAGCAATACACTTTCAATAGCAATTGTTACTTACTGCGATATAGAATGGTTATATGAATTACGTCATAGCGTACAAAAGATGACAAGCTCTTAAGGTCAATATGAATCATAAGATCTCTGTCAAAGGTTTAAGAAATATTTGAAACTATAAACTTTTGGGGAATATATTTGTGAAATCGTTCGACGTGTTTCCTTAAATCACAGCCAATTTATTAAGTCCTGAATTTTTAATAACTGTTAAAATTTCAATGCTTCGTCATTGTTTTTATTTAAGAGCACATACAATCTTAAATTAAATTCAGAACGTTTTAATAGAAAACGAATTGGTATCGATTCTCTACTGGTTTGAAGGAAAGAGTTTTCAGTTCGACAATATAATTTTTTTCCAATAAACTCATTTTTTTTGTTCAGTCCAGTTCAGTGATTTATGGACGTAGCAGTTAGGTACTGTGCAGCCCTGTTTTCTCGTGCCCACCTTCCTTTGCCATTCTTCATTCTGCCCTATTTCGTCTTTTAATAGCCGTACGATCCGCTAGCTGCCGTGTCGATAATTAGATTCTGAGGAGTACTGGCAGGTACACTTGTTAAACGGCGTGTGACACGCCGTTCGATTTTGCGGACACCCGCTTTTGCCCCATTCGTTAACACGTGCGCTCATTACAATGCCTGCTGGAAACGAAGGGAAAACGTATCGCTGCGTGATTTAATGAAGCAAGTATGAATACAAGCATGGTAGAATTTATTTAGGTTGATTCCAATCTGCCGTGTATTAATCAAAATTCATAATGCAAATAAAATTTTATCCAATGCTGAATATAAAGGAAGAATAAATAAATAAGTTTGTCTCGTTCAACAAATGCGTAATGTTAAACAACTAGTTTGCATTTAAGCGCGAAGGATTTGTTTACAGAAGAGAATTGTTAAAAAGTGTTCGTGAAAAGATTTAAACAATTCCTCACTTGCCTGAGTTTGCACTTACATATTGCACAGCTGTTGAATTATAGCGAAAAGCGTAGAAAGTAGCTACCAACTGATCCGTTACATAGCGTTCGCTCCGTCCACCGTCTGTTTCGATAGATAATATTCGATATTTGCTATCCGCGATTTCCCAAACGACAGTCGACGGGCTAGGGAGTGCAAAGTGGACGGCGCGGCGAGGATAATTCGTTCGTTTCACCGGAGCTGCAGAATTTCTATTTATTTTTTTTTCGATCGTTACGTGATCTCTTTTCGTTGGCCAACTTTCTTCTGTTAATACGCGCGCTCCACATACGCGTACCGCTTTCTTCGACGCTTCCCGTTTTTCTATAACATTTTCCTATGTTGATATTTCGTTAACAGAACGCATTACACGCGAAATTAACGTGATTACCTTATCGGTCTCTTCTCTTTTTCTGTACGCACGTCGTAACAAGACGGGGATTTATAAAATCGTTGATAAATACCGATGTTATATTATAAAACTGTCGAGAACGTGTTTATGGAAATGAATAACGGTGTGGAATAGTCGTTTAACCGCTATATTTTTCTCGTTGCAGAATGTCAAAGAGTCAGCAGCAAAACGGCATGATGCCAGGCGGTGGAGCGGTGGTGGCTGACACCGACGATTTTTCGGACGGCGACAGCACGCCGTTGACCCAGGATTATGGCGACAGGTACGCGACAAATGTTATCCTCGCGGACCGACCGCTCCATGTGCGCGCGTTCGCAAAGGTTTTATTTTTAACAGAGAGAGAGAGAGAGAGAGAGAGAGGGAGAAAGGGAAAGGAAGGAATTTCAATGTACTGTGTAAATGAGGGGACAAATATTTGATTTCAGTCAAAGGACAGTCGTGGAAACGAAAGGATGGGACGTTTTCCGGAACCCACCACCGAAGATCGATTCCGGCTCGATGGCGAACCAGCGATGCCTCGAGGTGACAGTACAAATAACGAAGGTGATCGTGTATCTGTTAGTTTTCGTGATAGTACTCGGAAGTGGTGTAGTTGCCAAAGGAACGATACTATTTATGACGTCCCAGCTGAAAGCTAACCGGACGATCGATTACTGCAACAAGGAGTTAGGTGAGCATTATCGTGAGATAATCTTCTAATATCGCTTAAATTGCTCTGCTACTTATCATGATAACCGAAGATTTCTTATCTCAATGTCTAATCCCGCCACTTAGTTATTATTTAAGGTAGTTCTTAATTTTACAGCCAATTTAGTTATTAAGAATGTATAGTGTGTATAGCCTGTACATCCTTAAGAATTAAATATCGATTATAATAAAAGTATTTTTATATCAAAGAAATGATATAATAATCAGATGATGATGGAAAGATTTTTCTTACGATCTTACAGACCGGAATAAGCAGTACGTGATTACTTTGCCAGAAGAAGAAAGGATAGCGTGGATCTGGTGCATTATAATCGCGTTCGCGGTACCGGAGTTTGGCACGTTGATCCGCAGCATTCGTATATGCATATTTAAGTCGTGGAAGAAACCCCCGGCGTCTCATTTCCTCCTCGTTTTCCTTATGGAGACCTTCCATGTGATCGGCTTAGCACTAATGTTTCTGGCAGTGTTACCCGAGTTAAACGCAGTCGAAGGCGCGATGCTGACCAACTGCGTGTGCTTCGTACCCGGGTTGTTAGGTAAGCGAACTTATCGATAGTCTTTGAACTTTGTTCTCTTATAGCAAAATCGTTGCATCGAACGAGAATTGATTGCAGGGAGATGTGTATAATTGAAATGATTGAAATCAAAATGGAGTTGCTATATTCTCGATTTTCTTTAATAAAATGTGTATTAATAATTTCATAAATTAAATTAAAGGGCAAATGTGTATTAATAATTTCATAAATTAAATTAAAGGGCAGTCATGTTATCTGGCATTTATTTTATCAAAGATTGCAACCATTAATCCTAACATGTCGAATCGATTTGGAAGTTAATTAGGGCACCCGTTTTAATTAAATTGCTCTCCCTCGAACAGATCAGAATTATCGACAGAAACTCGATTTAACTGAATTAAAGTGAAAGACCTGGACGGTTCTCTTTTTTAAGGGCTACTCTCCCGCAATAAGAACAAAGACGAATCGAAGAGATTCGTACTGGTGCTGATCGATATTGCCGCGCTAGCCGCTCAGGGAACGAGTTTCTTTCTTTGGCCATTGCTGAACAGTTCCCGGCCATCGTTATGGCTCATACCACCGTCATTGTTCCTCGTCTCCTGCGGCTGGTGGGAAAATTATGTCTCCATGCAAAGTCCCTTCGGTAGGTATTAAAATACAAATGCCGAGACTATTTTTAAA